TTTGTCATTCATATGATTTCCAAAAAAATAAATGTTATGTAAAATTATACAAAAATATTCATATATCCTATTTGATGTAATAAAATACTCGATTCAACCAAACTTTTATATTACAAAATATTAAAAATATATAAGACAATACAAAGAAGAAAAATACCCTAAGAGACTTTTTTATAATATATAATATGCACATTTAAATTAACTTGTGAAAGAAAAAAAACATATAGCAGAAGATCTAGAAAAAATAGGTTAGAAAAGAAAACTAATGAATAAGAGATTTCGCATTAAGTGGAAAGAATTCAACTTATTTAAGGCAAAGAATTAGTTAAAAAAAATAATTATTATTAATTTTTTTCAAATATTCACAATTAATTTTATTTATTTTTAGTTAATAATTGTTGCTACACTGAGGCCTTCCTTCTTGTACTTGAGTGGCTTGCACAAAAGAATTAACAATAGCCTTTCAATGCTATTTGCTAAATCGAGAAATTTTGAGTAATAAGTAAAGAAAAATCAAGTAGCACTTAGTATTAACTTTGTCATATAGTTTTTGAATTTCCTCACTTATCACTGTTTTGTTAATGTCACTTTGATTTTGTTTAAAATAAGTTAATGAAATTTTTTCTGGTGTTAATCTGAAAATACTCATCAAGAAACTGATTAATAATTTATTAAGCCTATAAATGAAAAATGGCTGGTGGAGGATTCTCGGATGCGGGAACTCTCAAGAGGGCTCATCTTTATGAGCATAAGATTACTTCATATCTCATATTTTCTTGCATCATTGGAGCTCTTGGTGGCTCTCTATTTGGCTATGATTTAGGTGTTTCTGGTGAGTTCAACTTAATTGTAAATTTCAAATCTCCTAAAAATAAATTACTATTGAAAAATTTGATATCAACATAATTTACAAGGTTAAATACGATTTCGTCTTATAATAAGGACTAGAGATTATAATAATATGATGATTTTGAGATCATACGTCGTTTGATAATCGCAGGAGGAGTTACCTCTATGGACGATTTCCTCGTAGAATTCTTCCCAAATGTGTATGAGAGAAAGCATGCAAAACTTCAAGAAACGGATTATTGTAAATATGATGATCAAATATTGACACTATTTACTTCATCTCTCTACTTTGCTGCTCTCGTGTCAACATTTGGTGCTTCAAGTCTAACAAAAACCAAAGGCAGAAAAGCTAGTATCTTAGCTGGGTCTGTAAGTTTCTTTATAGGAGCAGTTCTTAATGCAGGTGCTAAGAATATTGCAATGTTGATCATTGGACGTGTCCTTCTTGGAATCGGTATTGGATTTGGAAATCAAGTAAGTTCAAATTTTTTGGTCTAGTAGCTTAATAACTGAAACTTCACTCCTTAAAAGTGAATAACTAAGATGTTGCATATTCGAATTTGCGTTCTTATAGTATAATAACCCTGCACAATTATCAACTAAACTGACTTAACGGTTCTATGACGTAATTGCATAGCAGAATTTGAATAAACTGTTGTTGTTCTATGATAGGCTATTTAGTAAAAAGTATCGTCAAATAGTGACAATTGTTGCACTATATGGTTCAACAAATTTTAATTACATTGCATGATTTTGTGAAAATTATGGTGCAGGCTGTTCCATTATATCTATCAGAAATGGCACCTGCAAAAATCAGAGGAGCAGTGAACCAACTCTTCCAATTAACAACATGTTTAGGAATTTTGATTGCTAACCTTGTGAATTATGCCACTGAGAAACTTCATCCTTGGGGATGGAGATTATCCCTGGGTTTAGCAACAGTTCCAGCAACATGCATGTTCATTGGAGGTTGTTTTTGTCCCGAAACACCAAACAGTCTTGTCGAACAAGGACGAATCGATGAAGGAAGATTAGTGTTGGAGAAGATTAGAGGAACTAAGAATGTTGATGCTGAATTTGATGATCTTCTTGAGGCTAGCAGGGAAGCAAAAGCTATTAAGAACCCATTTCAGAATCTGCTTTTGAGAAAGAATAGACCTCAGTTCATAATTGGTGCATTGTGTATTCCAGCATTTCAACAGTTGACAGGAAACAATTCCATTCTGTTCTATGCTCCTGTCATTTTTCAAACAATAGGATTTGGATCTGGTGCATCTTTGTATTCATCTGTTATTACAAGTGTAGCCCTTGTTCTTGCCACACTCATCTCAATGGCTTTTGTTGACAAGTTTGGTAGGAGAGCTTTCTTTTTGGAAGCTGGTACTGAAATGATACTATGCATGGTAATTACACCTTTCATACATTATATTAACCTATTTTCAATAACTTTTTCTAAAACACGAATTGTTTGGATCGACTTGTATGCACTTATCTGCTAATGTAAGCTTTTATTCTGCAGCTTGCTACAGCTATAATTTTAGCTGTTTCATTTGGAAAAGGAAAACAACTGTCATTTGAAGTTGCTGTCTTTCTAGTTATTGTAATTTTCTTGTTTGTTCTGGCGTACGGAAGATCTTGGGGTCCCTTAGGATGGTTGGTTCCTAGTGAGCTCTTTCCATTGGAGATAAGGTCAGCTGCACAGAGTGTTGTAGTGTGTGTCAACATGATCTTCACTGCTATTGTGGCACAGTTCTTCCTCATGTCGCTTTGTCATCTCAAGTATGGAATCTTCTTGCTGTTTGCTGCATTGATTATTCTCATGAGCTGCTTTGTGTACTTCTTCTTGCCAGAAACCAAGCAAGTACCAATTGAAGAGATTTATCTTCTGTTTGAGAGGCACTGGTTTTGGAAGAAAGTGGTAAAAGATGAAGGTAGCAGCTCTGGAACAAGTGTATAACCCAAGATCTTGAATCTTGTTTTTTTTATTTCATTGTCAAATGTTACTAGTAAAGTTAGGGGGAAGGGGAATTTGTTAGCAGCAAAGATCAAATCTTGTACCTTCTTAATAACCCTTCGGACTATTCCGTCGGGATATGCCTTCGGGGACTTGTTCCTTCTGATTTTATGTGGAAGAGTTTTACAATTTTCATCATATTCTCTTGTCATTGCTAGGGCGTATAAGGTATATCTTTGACAAATACTTGAATTGGCATTTAGAAACAATTATAATAAAAATAAATGACATTCAAAAAGTATTTTAGATTTATTTCAATAAGAATCTCAATAGAGGTTCAACAAGCATATAATTTAGATGATAACACAAGCATTGAATCTTGCCAAATCTATCTTTATAATGCTTACTGAAGCATATTCATCATTAATTAATGATAAAATACAACTAGTCTCAAAATTCACTATTCCCTCATAGAAACATAAAACAAAATGAAATACTACAAAAACAATGCCGGTGTTTCTAAGCTACCTTAAGCATGCTGATAATGGTGTAACTTATACAGTAACACTTTACCTGAAGCATTTCCGACAGCCATAAAACCGCCACCTGGACTAAAATCAAGACAACGGGGATAGTGCAGGTTTGCATTCGGCGGTGGCCAGTTAGAGAATACAGTATAGGACGGAATATGTATTAATTTCAAACTGCTCTTCTTCATGCCGGAACATATAGCTAATATTTGAGAGTCGTGATTAAATCTCATGAAATCCACTGTGGTATTCAAATTGTCAATGACCTTTATAGGCTTTTTCTTTCCCCCGAGAAATTCCTCTCTATTGTAAATATTCACAACTCCACTGTCTGAACCAGCTGCAAAATGTGTCCCTCCTGGATTAATACAAAGTGCTGTGCTGTTTATGCAGCCTTCATCGACACCTTTATGTATGCAAGTCCTTGTTCTGAGATCCCAATGGTAAACATGGCCGTCACCGCCAGAGCTCAACAGCTTTTGTCCGTCCTCGGTGAAAGCTAAGGTACGGACAGTTCCATTCATCTTCAGTGTACCAATTAATTGCTTTGATTTCGTTGAGACCAATAAAATATAACCTTCGTTACCAACAAAGGCTATTGTTTTAGAATCGGGAGAGACCTCAAAATCTTCCAAACTCTTCTCTTCCCTACCCAGCAGTGGACCGATTTTGTCGACTCTAGCCTTAACTAAATCAAGACTGTAAAAAAACTTCCTTCTTCCTGATAGTATCACCTGAGACCCGTCTGGCAAGAAAGATGCTTTTCGAATGGGACAATCTTCAAGGAATATGCTCTGAACTTTGGTGTTTCGTTTTCCATCAATTTGAAAAAACCTAAGCTTCCGGTCTAATCCGGCAGCAAGTAGCAACTGACCATTTCGATGGAATTGAACCGAATTTATAGGACCGTTAGAAGGATCTTGTATATTTGCATCTACAAGCCTTGAGTATTCAATATGACCTGGCAACAATTTTGAGCTGCTCTTCACAACCAGATCTTCATTTGTTCTCAGAATATCATCCACGTCTTCGTAACCTTGACTCACAACAGCAGCTTTATTATCATCATCTGTTAACTCGTCATCAGAAGATCCATCCATTTTCCCACCTGAATCGAGTTGCGCCCAGTCAGTTCCTCGATTGAGCTTTACGTGTTGAGCCCTCAACCTTGACACATACTCTGAACCAGATATCAAATCCTCATCCTCTTCCTTTCTCAGCTTCCTTAATCTATTAACTTTGGCTATGTTAACAGTGACTTTTTCTTCTTCCTCGTCGACCCACACGGGTTTTCTTTTCAAAGCCTCATCATCTTCCTCATCTGACAAGTCAGCATCCTCCTGGTAAACAGAGACAACACTATCTGCAGAACGGTCGGTGAAGAACAATTCAGAAGCCTTTGCAGCAGACCCAGCTTCCACTTCATCATCACCACCCTTTCCAAATTCAAGAGGGGAATAGAGAGACCCAAACAAAACGTTTTCCAGCTTTTTCATTTCTTTCACTTGTTCTAATTCCAACTGTTCTGCCTTGCCATCTCGCTTCCGCTTCTTCACTTCCATAGGATCAACATCAGACTCTTGCCCATCTTCAACCTCCTTTTCTTTAATGTCCTCCTCCCTCTTGGTCTCTATTTTAGAGCGAGCATTTTGAGATATTAAACTCATCTTTCACGAGCAAACCTGCAACATTAAAAAGTGAGTATGTAACCAGGATATTAAAATGTTACAGCCACAACATCAAGGTTTTCAATATCCAAAGCCGCGATTGAGACAAAATCAGCATCAATCATGATCCTCTGTAATATATCAATGATCGAAAGAGACCACAATCCGGCCGTGACATCAGAGCTTTTGATGTCCATGACCACATTCAAGGCTCAATCATGATAGAAACCTAAAAGAACGAACTCATAACAGAAAAGGAGAGAAAGAGTGACTGACTATCAGATTCTTGTATATCTATAAAATGAGAAGTGATTACAAGATGCAAAGAGTTCGGTATTTATCCCTAGCTTGAGTAATCTAACTGATTTTGGAATCAGTTAGTCACTGCACAACAGATTCAATAAGTTACTATGTTCTGACTCAGCACAAGCTGATTACAAAGAGAAGCCATCTTGGACTATCTTATACTACTACTCTATTACATCAGTGACATTTATGGTCTACTAACATAAGTTTGGCAAAACTGTTACTGAGAACTTATGAAAAATTGAAAACAGCTCATGACATTGTTCATAACTTATAAGCTGTTTTCAACTTACTTTCGTAAGATCTCCAAAATAGCTTGTGCAAACAACTTATAAGCTTATACGAAAATAATTTAACTTTATTTTAATTCATGTTTTGCTATAGACGTAGCTTATGCACAAATATTTGTGCTATAAGCTGCAAATAAGTTGTTTATCCAAACACGGTCTCAATCACTATTCTCACTATTCTCAGCGATTTCAAAAATTGCAAAGCTGCCAAAATTTAAAACTTTCATCAAATTCATCATTTTTAAAGAGAGTTAATACCAGTTGTAATTTGTGCATACATACAATGATATAAAGCAATTCACAGGAATATATATTGAAAATTATTATCAAACAAAACAGCATCATGATCAGTAATGACTATGAATACACTAACTACAGAAAAATAGTTCAATAGCAAATATCGAGAAGTACTATGGTATTAATTCTATAGAATGAACCATTGCATCAAAACTGAAGGAAAATAAATGTAATTGAAAGCTACAACAGTTGCTAACATAGCATATAGAAACTGTTGGTTGAGATACCTGTTAGCTAGATGCACGGGAGAGAGCAAGGAAATGAAGGTGAAGAAGGAAGGAACCGTGGCGACGGAGGCGTGGATGGTAACAAAACGATGAGTTCAGTGTATATTCGAAATGGGGATTAGGGTTTAAAATTACAATGAGTGTGTAAGAGAGAGAATATTATATTGATTTTATTATTTAAATGTTTTCTTACAATTAAATGTTTTTACTATTGAATTATTTTAATAAAAAAAATTGAAGTCCTTTGACAAATTGTCAAATATTCATAATGAGATATAAAAATTGAAGTCCTTTTTTTTACCAGTTCTATTTATTTATTATAATATTTTTTATTAATATATAAGATATTAATATTTATTAATTAAAATGTTAAATAATAAAAAGAAAAAAAATAAAGAGATAATATTTTTTACTCTATTTTATTTAATATGTTTATGCACTGGAAAAAAATATAATTTTTATAGACTATAATATTAACGAATTAAAATTTTAAATAATAAAAAAAGAAGAAAAATGATGAAAAGAATGATTTTTTTATTCTATTTTATTTAATAATATGTTGATGTATCGGATAAAAATAATATAATTTTAACTATTATATTATTTATTCTTTATTTATATATAAAATATTTATATTATATTTATAAATTCAGATGTTAAATAATGAGAGAAAGAATATTTATTTATTTTATATAATGTTTAAATACACATTTGTCCTCCTAAAGCACATGCCAAACATTGAATTTAAACTCTTCAATTAAATAAGTATTTGTTTAATTCATCCGCTACTCTATTTCATAGAAGATTATTTACCGAAGCACATGCCGTACACTGTATATTTACCGAAACAATTAATTAATATTTATATCACCTTTTTCTCTTTTCTCGGTTGTATATCTGTGAAATGTTAACATTTTTTCTCTCTACGTGTACCACGTATATGATTGTACTTTAATCATGTTTTGAGGTGTATTTACTGACATTTGTAACAATGTTAACCATGTTTATTTACCGGTAATTAATTTTATATATTTACTCATGGTTGTTCATTGGCCATTTTCTAAATTGTATTGTCCAATTTGTTTCACACTATAAATTAACTTTATAATAAAGAATCTTATAAATTTTTATTTATGTCTAAGCGTTTACAAATCAATTTATATCCAATATTAATCATTTTTTTACATATCATTAATCAACTTCGTTATAAATTTATATTACACATTTAATTGTTTTAGTGTCATACTTTCTGTCACGATTAGAACATAATAAAAGTTCAAACATTTTAATAGATGTAGAAGTTGATCAATACATTTTTTATTCACCAATATATTCAGCATTTGTTCTTCACCAACAGCGATATTTATAAAGAACAAATATAATATTTTGTATAAATAATATAATATTATATGTAAACAATGTAATTAGTATATATATATATATATATATATATATATATATATATATATATATATATATATATATATATATATATATATATATATATATATATATATATATATATATATATATATATATATATATGAATAAGAAAGAAATTGAAAGGAGAGACAAACTTAGTTTCTTAAGATTTTCAAGATTCATTATTGAGTCTAGTTAAAAAGTGATTCGAGTTAAATAGACGAGATGATCCATACAGATGACTTTTTAAGGTGGTGAAAAAACTAATAAAATTCATAGATCGACGATCGATCAAGAGTTTTACATGCAAATATTATTGTGGATTTATGTGTTTGCATATATGATGACTGCAGCAGCTCATTTGGTATTGATGTTGACAACGCTTTTTGTGAGTGCATTCTTCAACTTAGCATTGTTTGGATGATGTTAAAACTATGAGTAAAACTTAAACTTAGCGTTTTTGTATATTGGACGATATTAACTAAAATTTAGATATGCGTTGAATCATTTTATCCCTAGGATGCATACAAATGTTTTTGAAAAACCTTAAGCATGGACTACACATAAAAACATAGTTATATGTGCAAACGCAGTTGTACAGGCTAACCTATACGTACTCAGACCGAGCTATAAAAGTTTTTGCTTCAGTACAGGCCGCCACATACGATTATGTCCATAGGTCGCCTTCTTCAGGTCAACTTGAAGACCTTGACAGGCCAACATATTGCTTTCATAAGACGACCTGTAGCCTTCAAAAACACAAATTTTATTTTGCATCTTATTTTTTTCTTGCATTCCTTTTTTGCCTAAATTCCACACACACACACACACACACAGATATATATTATTCCGGACTGACCCAATGGTTAGGCATGACCCAATCCACTTTTACTCCTAGAACCACCCAATAGCCTTAGCCCTGTCAGCTAAGGGTAAAGTGAAGCTTCCTCTCATATGTCCCTCTGCCGAGGAAAGCTGGCCAGCTAACCCCTAGGATCAGCTGCCCCTCGTCACATTCTTTCATGTCACGCACGGTTTCACCATCCAGAAACAGTCACGACGCTCGTACCTGTGACCGCGCCATTTCCCGTGGCAACGGCTAGTTTCGAGCACCTCTGTCAGTCCCAACGGCTAGTTTCTGGCAGTTACCTATTCTTTGGGGAGCACTTATCTCACTCTGAAATAGGGACCAATGGCCAAGCGTTTGGGGCATTATAAAAATCATCTCACTTGAGAGAGTCAAGTATTGTAATTCATTCTACATCACCCTAAGACATACACTCTTTGTACTTACCTTCTCATCTCCCGATTCTTAGTTTAGCATCGGAGTGCCTTGCAGGTACACCCCCTCTTCATCCTTACAACTCAGCATCACCGATAAAGTCTTTGACCCACTCCAGGTTCTGATTAGCCTTCAAGATCAGTGGTCGTCTGTGGGAAACTATGTTCTCCCTGTCTTCTTTTTCCCGTGAATTCAAGACCAAAGCATTTTTTTCAAGATTCCAATCATGCTCAGCCATGACAATGTCCCAATGCTCACAACGTCATCCTTCCTGTTAGCAAGGCGCAGACGAAGCAACCTTTTTTCTTAGAAGCGAGGTCCATTAGCAAAGAGATGGAGCCACCGCGTCTCTTCCCCCCGATCATGTTGACAACATCGAGGGCCAACCCTCCGAAGATCATCAGACCGTTCTGGTTCCTCCCAACACCGACTCGGTCATGGCAGCTCTACTCGAAGTCCTCAACAAAACAAGTCCTCAAGATCTCCTCCACCAAGGAAAAAACGCTGAAGATCTCAGAGTCTTTCTCCCAGACGAGGAAGAGATCGTCGAACACCAGTAGAGCCAGATTCTCTGGCAGTAAGGAAGCACGACCATGCCTCTCCCCGGAGCCAGCACTCCTCAAGGGCTAAGAGAACCAGAAGGGATCTCCGGACAGAGCGTCATCATTCGCCTCCACCCAGATTCAAGGGCCGAGCTCGGAGTTCATCTCCCCGAACAAAGTACCCACTCCCGTTTGAGGTCTAGCAACAGCAATGACGATGAGCCTTGCGGCCCGTTGTCCCAAGAGTTTATGGCCATGCGCCTATCCAGAGGGCTGGAGAAACCCCCACCCTTGGGCACGTAGAATGGCACTACAGATCTAGACGAGCATATCAAAAATATCGATGCTCTACTCGATTATCGTGACGTCAGAGGCGTCATAAAATGTAGATTATTCCCAACCATGCTGAGGAAGGGAGCAATAACTTGGTACAAGAGGCTCCCCAATGAATCCATCACATCTTGGAGGCAGTTGGGGAGGATGTTCTCTAGGCATTTCACGGCCTCTCATCGTCACCCGAAGATAGAAGCCTCCCTTGAGGCCATCATTCAATGGAAAGAAGAACCTCTTCGAGCTTATATCGAAAGGTTCAACAAAGAAGTCGTCTAGGTCTCTACGACAGACGACATGAAGA